ATTTTCAAAAAATGAGATATTGGAGTGGAAATTCTTGCCTAATATGTCACCACTTTGAAAATGATTAAAGAAAATGGGGTCTCCTCCAGCAGAGGCAGGTACTTTGACTTGTCAAAGTTAAGTTGGACATTTTCTCTTAGTTTGGAACTGCCACAAAATGAGCCCTTTCATGTCCTCAATAATACCAAACCAATGCAATCCATCTGTTCTGCTAAATTATTTCTAGTTCCCTAACCAAAGGCATTGCTTTTTCATGCATTTTATCATGATTTTATGCCCTTTATTATATTTTACAAAAGGTTCTGATTCCTCCAGGGCCAATGAGAACTGATTAGGACACTGGCCTCAATCCAGGCTTTGAACACAGGAGGGGAAGGAATAGAACTGTTTCCTTTTTTCCCTGCTCCTTGGCAGGAAAAAAAAACATGAATCTATACCGTGTGTGTGCTCTGTGTGTGGGTGGGTGTGGGTAGGCTGCATTTTATCCTGTCACAGTATGACTTTGTAGATCATGTTCAGAACATTCCTTCTATAATCAGGTTGCATTAATGGGCTTTATTTCAGAAAGACTATTTCTTTAGGAAAGAACCATGGTGTGTTGTGAGACTCAATGATATGGTCATTTTAAACAGCTTTAGTCAGACTTCAAACCTGAATGTAGACTGACGCTATGAACTGAAAGAGATCATATTCCTCAGTGCTTATCACAGAGTAGGCACTCAGTGCACACTAGTTCCTTTCCTACTTTCAAGGAAGAAGATGCCCAAGTGCACATCACAGAGAGTGAAAATATAATAATGACCCGTTCACTGCAGGGTTTCTTTATTAAGAACATGAAAAACTATGCAATTCCTTTATTAGGCCTATATTAGCACGGTATTTAAGACTTATATTTGAATCTTAAGTGAGATCTCAAGAAATACATAAACGAACACCATATCTTAAATGCATTGCATTCCCAAATATACTGAGAATTCTCAAAAATCCTTTGGGTTAGAATCATAGATGACTTTAGATAGACATCCTGCAGACTAAATATCTCTGAGAACGGAAATCAGTATCCCCCTAAATTATGATTATCAGAGCACTTTATCCTATTTTGTGACTCATTATGGCTGTCGACCTTTGACTCAAAAGAGCATCATGAGAGAGAAATGAAGGAATAAAGAGTACACAGGAAATAGAAAAATATGGGAAGGGATTAAATAAAAATATCTATATTTAAGCGTAAACTCATAACATAACAAATTACTGATGATAATTCCAGAAAGTGAGAACCTTCTTGGAGACCTCAGTTTGAGAGGAAAAAAATGAAATTGACAAATTGAAGACTTCTGATAACAGTGAGGTAAGATGGAACTACTCCAGGAGATCCTGTGAGTTAAGAAAGAAGGAAAGCTGTTGCCATTTCAGAATTTTTAGCTTAGTCATCCTTCAAGTTCCCATAGCTTTGCTTCTATGAGATGTAAATCTCAAAATGTGCTTTCTCCAGATTGTTTTTCCAAGTAGAAACATATTTCATATTCAATTGGTTTTGTTCACTGTTTTTTTCTATAGAAACATATATATCCTGTTTGCAAATTCTATTCTCTAGCACCCATAGAAGCAGAAGATGATTGTTAAATATTCCTTATATTTACTGTAATTATTTTTTAAATACGTATATTTTATAATGATAAAAAGAGCCCATGTGAAAACTTCCTGGGAGTCAAAAAGAAATAGAGAGGGAGGAAAAAAGAAAAATTGAAGTGAAAACTTAGGAACTGTATTACATTTTAATAGTGATAGAGAGGACTACAGTATAAACTAGAATGGAATACTATTTAGAATAAATAAATGCTAAAAAGGCTGGGCCAGATGCTCTATCTTACTGTTATTTAACTGATATCACATAAAGGAATGACTGAGATTCGATAGGTGTCCTTATCTGATTTATCAGCTCTTCAGCTGCTGTCAATAATTGAATCTTATTAGATTATTTTTCAAATGTGTGGTTGATTGTTCAGCCTGAATGTGAGGAGGATTGTAGGAGAATGAGAAAGGAGTTGGGACAAGCATGAAATGTATGGTTGAAAATACATGTGACTAGTTTATGAAAACATAAAGATATATTTCTTATTAATGGTATTTAATGTTCTGCCAGAGTAGGACTGATTGTCTCATCTGATTTGCAGTGCTCTCCGCTCGTTCCAGTTTTAGATGACTCAGACCATGGGGTTACCACTAGTTTTCTTGGGGGATTTAACACCAGCTGAAATCTCACAGTTAAGATGTTCCCTTTAATATTGACTTTGAACTTTCTCCTCCTAATTTTATCTCATTACTTGTCATCTTTTTCTTTGGTTGTTCTGGTATTCTATAAACGTTTCCAAATTTAATGGTTATCATCAAGCCACCGAGGTCAATAACATGTTCCTTTGTCAATCTGAGCAATGGCTGACCAGATGGCCATCATTAAGTTTGCCTTAGTCTTCAGCATTACCTACCCAATTTAATTTCAGTATTTAACATCTAACTGGGAATAATTTCTCTAAAACATATTTTTATTTTTCTAGAAAAGTAAATTGGGTGTCAAAAAAGAGGGAACTTTAGTGCTATGACAAAGAAAATCCCGTAAGCATGTGTTTATTTGACACATAATGGCGCAGTGTCGAGGAGTTTCTGTTTTTCGTCACTCCTGTTACCTTTCTTTTATCCCTCAGGTCTCCTGCTCTCTCACTGTTACATGATTTGCTTTTAGTGGCAAGTACAGCTCTGCCCTCTACCCAGTAAACCCCTAGGAAGTGTCTGTATATTAAGGTTTCCTGGCCTGCTCGATCAGTGAACCACACATCAACAGCAGCTGCATCACCTTAAATTAAGGAGGGTGAATATGGAATCGTCGTGTCCTGCAAGAGGTGTTGTTGTCACCTGATGTTTCCATGTCAGCTGGTGATTTTATGGTCAGGAACATGAAAGGACACCATTCCCTGTGCAGGTTCTCTTTGAATTTCACTCTGCATAGTTCTCTACTAAATATTACCTTACTGGTACTTTATTGTAATACATATTTTAAGTGAAATATTAGTACTCTCTGGTGGTTTTAGGAAACACAGCAATTTCCTAAAGGCTAATTAACTTCGTAAACCAACATGATGTTTACTGAGTTTCGCAGATGTGCCAACCGAGAAAAGTGGCTAGAAAGAACACTTTGCATATTGACTAACTGAGGCTTGACTTAACATTCAGTTTCATCTGTGTTGAAGGACCTTTCTTAGTCGAAGTGAAAGTCTCTGCCTCGCATGTGTATAAAAATATTGACTGAGTCTAGAGTGTCTCAAACTATCTCTGGTTGAACAGCAGTTATTGCTTCTGTTTAATTTCCATTCTGTTACTAACGCTTTCATAGAATATATTAAGAATGAAATACTACAAAAGTGAAATTAAATTGAAGATATATAAGATTATATTAGATTCAACAGACTTAAAAATATTCTGTCAAATTGCTATAAAAGTTTCTAAGTATTCTGAATTTCTGTACAGACCTCATCACAGACCATTCATAAACAGTTTCAGAACTGTTACTGATCCCGTGGGACATACTTTGAGTAACATTGGTCTAGATTAACACTACTGTGAGATGCACACACATGAAATGATCAGATATTTGTTATAATCAAATACATTAAAATGTATTGGTACTTCCTTAAGTCCATTAAGAAACAACTTCTCCAGATAAGTGTAAAATAAGATTTCAATGAATTAAGTCTCAGCTAAACAGTAGACCATATTTGTTTCTAAGCTGGTACTTTCCCAAAGGAGTTAACTATTAATTTATTTGGTATAAATTTCTTTTTTATGCCAAAGAAGAATATACTTTATGTCAATTACCCATTTAGGCATAAGCAATGCATTGGTTCTGAAATGCACGCATTCATTTTTCAAATATTCGTATGGTACTTTACTAAGCAAATTGGTGTCACATTCCTACATGATAAAACTCAGCCCATTATTAATCATCTTAAATGTGACTTGGGGCTTTATTTTCTTCTAACTGTTGTCAGTAGAGTATTGTAAGCTTCTGCTGTTTTCTTTCAGCGAATTCAAGGTCGAAAAGCCAGCCTGGAGGAAATACAACTTGTTCATTCTGAACATCATTCACTGTTGTATGGCACCAACCCCCTGGACGGACAGAAGCTGGACCCCAGGACACTCCTAGGTCTGTATGGGCCTCCGTTCTACTGAGAACAGCACATTCCAGCACTGTCATTAGTCAATGCTGGTGTCAGTTCAAAATACTTGGCAAGCAGTGTGACAAAAAATCAGCTTTTCCATCAGCATTGCTCTGTGGAATGAGTTGTTTACAATGGAAGCCAATGTAGATTAAGAAAATCTTGCATTAGAAAAATTGAAAAAATGACCATAAAAGTTTCATGATGTTTATTTTTAAATTAACATTTATTTGAATAGCATTTGTTCATTGTGTTTTAGCATACAGGAATAAATGCATTGCAGAGTTTGTTTGCTTACATTTTTAAACTAAATGAAAGAAGTTTTTCACATTCTTTATGTAAATTTATTTTCACCTTTTCCATTTGTTTTGTGTTGTTCAGTTTTTTTTCCCATGACCTCAATAGACAGGGGGCATAATACAACTTATTTTAAGTGAAAACTCCTATAACTGTGCCTAGAATACTATATTTTATAGTAAGATTATATTTTAAATCTTAATATAATCTTTTTAATGCATACCTTAACTGGAATTAAATAGTAAAGTAGATGGCAGAAGTAGAAAACTAATAGACGTAATTTTTAGCTAATGTATGATTTTTCAAACCTCTGCCATCAGATTTTAAAATAAAATTAATGTTGCACAACTTTATATAAACTTTATATGAAAGATAGAAATAACAGATTTTAGAAAAAGTTTGTTACAAAACTTTATTCTTAGCTGAAACAATTCTATTATATTTACTTTAATCTTTTATAGTGGAATAACAATACATGACATGGTACTATATACTGAAATGATATTATTTTAAGTATGTTAACTAAAGAAAGGCATTTTAGGACTTTTTCTAGTCCCTTTCTTTCAAATAAACCTGTTTCGTCAGTTCCAAATCACTGGACTCTCTCCCTTAATTCAACAATATTTAAAGTGATTTTATGTTAACTGGTCCTAAACAATTCAAAAGCAAGTATGTGACATATAATAGGCAGGCATCTTGGAAAGCAATAATAAGGGGAAATTAAGAGTCCCCCATAATACACTTATAATACGGCTTTTTAAAAGGAGTGGCAGGCATCCTTCGATTAATGAAGTGAAGGCATACAGGTGAATGTATGTATGCACACATGCATGCAAGGGATGTAATGATAGCTTGGGAAGAAACTGACGGAAAGTAGAATACATAAAGATTACTTAATTTTTAGAAAACATTATTAAAATTTAATGATGAAAACCAGAGTTAAATCTATATGTTAATATAAAGGCAAATATGTCAATCTAAACATATATACTCTATTTTTTTCTTCTTTCTGTTGAAGAAATCAGTCTCTGCACATGTAGATTCTGCATAAAGTACTTCAATTTTTGTGGATACTATACAATGACTGTCTTTGTTTTAACATGATTAATAATCCCACACAGTGTAACCAAAGATGAAGTAAACTAGATGTTAACTTTCACAGTTTTATGAGGTCAAAATACACTTTTAAAAATAGAAGGCTATGTGAATTTTGATTATTATTATTTTTAATTTAGTTAAGAGAAAACAAGTAGCAAATCTTCTCTATTTTTAAAAAAAATATGATCTCAGCCTAGGCATAAATCTAGGTATTTTGGATTTAATTGGGATGAACTTAAAGGTAAGTGTTTGAGAGATGTTCCAAAACAACCATTATTCCACATTTTAAGAGAAAAGACATATTTGTAAAAGAAATGAAGTTTATTTAAACTTTGACAACTTCAAACTACTTATGAAACTTTGCAATGTCATCTTTTTTTTTAAATGAAATTCGACATTCGAACAAAACCTATTTTTTCAAGAGTCAACATATGTATCATTTAAAAATTTCATGATTTAAAAATAAATTCCAGTGTATAACTTAGACCTTGGACAATCTTTTTCATGTACGTATGTATGCGATGAAAACGCCAAGTAACAATAATTTAATTTTTAAAGTTTTAATCCACATAAATTGGCCACTTATCGCATTCCTTTTGAGTATTTATTGTGGCTAATACTCATATAATTGATGATTTTAGAATTAGATACATAGGTAGAGTTTCATAGGCACCTCTCAGGGATCAGTGTGATAATTTCAAATTGTGTGCAGGCTACATGAGTAAAGATAAACAAGGATATTGCATTGTTAGGTCTTGATGTCAAGTATGAAATTCGACTTTGACAATACTTCTGAACTACTTCAATTTCTCATGCGAATCCAGAAACTTAGCAGATTTTCCTCATTCAAGTTCTAAGTGAATAATCCCATTCTTTTAACTTTTCATACATTTTTTGTTCTTTATGAAATTTGAATTCTTGTTTTTTATTTATATTTAAAAAACTAGATTGACACTGCCATGTATAAATGTATAGAAATTGATAGCCGTCAAGATATTTCTCTTTATCATTTTCTTCCACTCCCCTAGATTTCTTTTCCTCCCGCGTTTCCCCCGACACAGATTGCGGGAAGGGGTAGGGGAGGGTGTCAGTGCGCACACAACATTACATTTAAATTCATTCAGTTGTATGAAATTTCTGAGTTGGATTGATAGTACTACTCTTGATAGTTACGTTCTGGAGTTAGGAGGAAGGATTTAAATAAAAGTTTATTATGACCAGACCTATCAGTCTTTGTATCTTGAAAGATATCTATAGCTTATAAAATAATTAGATTTGAAAATGGGTACCATTTATCTCTTTAAATACTCTAGACCCAGTAAGGTGACACTTTAAAAACATTCTTTCCAATTATTTCTGGTACGAGATTTTCCTCAGCATTAATATTCCTGTCGTTCTTACTACCAGTTTTCATTATCTTGTAGCTTGCCAGATTTCAGTTTATGGATAAGGCAATATAGTATATATATATATATATATATAAAAAATTAAATGCAGTCAATTCAGTGAATTAAAATTTTTTACACACTACTAAATTTAAATTATTGATTATTTGGCTCATTTGTATTATGTAAACATTACTAAATATAATTCTTAAGCAACACATTATTTATTTTCCTTATTCTCTTAGAGTTTAAAATTTTTTTTTTACTTTATTCCATTGTAATATTTATCCTTTTTCACTAACTAGAGAAAGAAGAATTCAGAGATTAAAATATATAATATTATATATTTTAATTTCGTATATGACATATGAACACAGCCTAGCAAAATATTCAATAAGACAGTAATATCTTTGTTATGAGCAACAACTTAAGAAAACTTTACCCCTCCCCAAACTGTCCATAAATTTTTTATATATCCTTTACTGATGTCAGTATTTCAGTTTTCATATATTTCCCTGACACGATTTTAGTTGTTGTTGACTTACCTTTTTTCTCATGAATTTCCTTATATATAATCATCTTATTTTTTCATTTGTACTTAAATTTTTATCATTTTCCATTTGTTAGCAATTGCATCTGAAAAAAAACTAATACATTTATTGTTTTCAAAATAAACTTTTTTCTATGACCTTAAAATCTATTTAGTCTTTTGCTAGCATGGTATGTGAATTCCACCACAAACCTGTTTTCAGTTTTCATTATTTCATTGATCATCAGTAGGACAAATGATTTGGGACAGGTGAAATGGAGGTTCGAACCTGTTACTACCACTGATCTCCTGAGTGACCCATTTGAATCACTTCAGAGCTTTTTGACTATGATGTGGAACTGCCCACTGCCTTTCCCTTTAATTACTCTGTAAAGTAGAGTTTAGTCTTAGAGGTTTAGGAGTAGTTAGTTATTTTTGTTTTCTCTATTCATGTCGTAGATAATGTGGAAAATAAAAGTGCAGGTAAACAAAATGATGAAAAATTCCATGAAATATCAATTCTAAGAGATAGTCACAAGTAAGATTTTGGCATATGTTTTAAAGAATATATATTTATATTTACATTATATAGATTCCCAAATAGTGTTATCCTCTTTAGTATGTCATGACTTGCTTGTTTAAACAATTGTGAATATCTGAGAGGCTTATATTATGTTTGGCCTTAGCTAGAAGTAGAAATTGAAAATAAATCTGTATATTTGAATAGACATTTTAATATTAGAAACATTTAAAAAATGACTATATTCAATAAATATTGTGATTTGAAATATTGTATTAGAGGGATATACTCAGTGAATAGCTGAGTTATTCATAATAAATTATAAATAAAAAAGATACTGTTATATATTATATGATGTGTAGACCAGTTAAACAAATCTTGAGACTCAAATTTCATAGATATTTGTTCATGTAGGCAAAAGACTCTACATGTAATATTTTTATTCATTTGCTTTTAGCTCTTACCAATCTAAAATTTGATCAATTTCCTCCTAAGTTAAATGATAAATGCCATGTAACATAAATTGTCACAATAAACAATGAAGAGTAAACACTTATCAAAACCGATAGTTTTTAGTAATATTAATATTTAAAATGTAAAAATCTATAATTATATTCCCAATTTATATATTTGTTCATATCTTCTTATTGTGTAGGTGATGCCTCTCAAAAGTTTTTTTCTTCATTACCTTGTGGTGGACTTGGGGTAAGTATGAGTTTGTTTAATGCTCTTAAATAACAAAGTTCCAAAACTATTTCCTTTGATTTATCTGTTCGATTATGTTTAAGGCTCTTTCTTAGTAAAGGTTATGCTAGACTTCAGGACTGGCTACATAATTTGTAGGGCTCAGTGCCAAATGAGAATGCAGATCTGCTTGTTTGAAAATTAAGAATTTCAAGATGGTAACAATAGTGAATTAAACCAAATATAGGGCTCATCAAACTGTAAAGTCCTGTGTGACTGTACAAGTCACATGTTCACAAAGCTGGCTTTGCTAGGCATATGAGAGAGTTTAACACACAGGTTTGTAGCAGATTTCAATTTTCAATAGAGCGATACTGAGGAAAACGGTATAAACTTCATAAAGCGCCTTGCACTGTGGGATGTTTTGTTTGTGAACCCCCTGAGGCCATTTTGTCTTTGATAATTAAGAAAGCCTTTTGACCCAAGGTATTTATACCACATTGCAAGGATAAATTTGTTCAAATCCAGCAACATATGAAGAAAAATGTCTACATTTTTGTGGATGATAAGAACATTCTATATAGCCTGCAATCTATTTAAAGTTAACCCTTACCAGTAATAAAATGTCATCCACAGAACTAAGTGCTAAGTCACATAAGCGACAACATAATTCTAGGTCAGGTTTCCAAGGACTAAGGAATTTGAGTCAATTAGGTTTCTTGGATATTGAAGGGAAAGAACAAAATTAGTCCTGTGCATGTCATGGTTAGGCAAAATTTTGCTATAAATAAATTTTACACAGGGAATTCCCGTATATTTTAAGCTAATTCTTTCATTTTAGTGATGCTGGATTTATTAAGGATAATCTTTCTATTCCTTCACCTGAGTCTGCCCACTAGAAATAAGAAAGGCAACTACAACCAACATCTGTTTGGACCACACAGTTTACCAGCGTACGACAGAGGCTCATAACAACTTGGTAAAATAGTCATTATTATTAACAGCATTTTGCAGATGAGAACCTGAAGGCTCAAAGTGAGGTTATTTTCCTGAAAGTCACAAGGTGAAGGGTGAGAGACTGAAAATACGAGGTTGGTGTGTGCGCTCATGTAGGGGAGTTCCCAAAGAGCATGTTAGGTCCTTCTGCCACTTCCATCTTCAGCAGGCTGTCCACAGTCCCTGGAGCCTAGCAATGCAGCCACATGGCTAGTGTAGTGGTCCCCTTTGTGTCAGCCCACCGGTGAACTTTGCTTTGTGACCCCCAGCAGAGGACAATCACCGCCCCATATAATCCTTGTTAATTTTTAGCAAACTTCCTGCGAAACCATGAGCTTGCAATACCATTCTAGAAGGCAGAGGACAAAGTGACTTTTAAAATGGGTTTCATTGGCTTTGAGCTTATTTTCTAACATCCCAAGTGGCCATTTTAAAATAATGGTTGATTACCTGCAAATGAGGTGAAGAATAAAACAAAGCTAAGGACTACTTAGTAGGTATGGTGATGGGGAGGAAATCAACACTGTTGAAAGAATGGTGGCCATCAAACTCCCACTCATTTACAAGTACATGCAGTTCATGACCCAGAGTTGAAATAAAGACAGCTCCCTAGAACCCACCTCCCAATTCTGAACCGGGTTGTGCCTATAATTCACTATCTTTAAACACAGAGTAACTCTACTCAATGGCTCTAAATCCATAGTAAGGTTACTTTATTATCGTTAGCCAGAACTGCTCTAGTAAACTCTTAGACGTGCCCAATAAATCATGTCTGCTACTTCTGACATGGAGAGTCATGTCAGATTCTTAATAGCATCCTCAAACACCGACCTAATCCAAATGGTGGCATCAGTGATGGTAATTAAATCTAGCTTGGGCAAGGAGGCAGGAGAACAAAGACTGGATTAGCTTGATTCCATTAATGCTGGAAAAGGCTGGAGAGAGGCAGCTCTATCAAATTGGACTATAGGTCTTCTGGTGGTGTTGATGTAAGTCTAGGTGAGTGTAAGAGAGTGTGCATATGTGTGTGTGCATGCACACGCATGCATGCAAGCTGTTTCTGTTGAATGCTCTATTGAACTAGTTTGATTCAGTCCTTTTGTTTTTTTCAGGAACCAAAGTGTGTTCTTAGATATTAAGGTACCATCTCACCCCTAATATTTTTGGTTTTGGTATAAGTCCTAAGAGAAACTCTGGGTCCTCCGTATTTGTACTAGTCTCAGTTTTTGCCTCCAGCACAGTCTTATACATATTAAGTATGTGAAAGATACCAATATGAACTTGGAGTGGCCCAACTTGGCAATAGAGGAACACCCTAGAGAGCGTGGAAACCACTGAAATTGCTTTTGTCTTAGGCACTCTTCTGGTTCACATTATCTAAGGTAGACTTGTTGATTTAAACTCTAAAATACTTAATGCTCCCCGATTGTTAAAGTAAACTCGTTACCTAGAATATATGCTTTCCTACTAGATGAGTTTATTATACACCTACTGAAGGCCTATGATTAATTGGATTTTGAGGAGACTACCTGGGACATTATGAAATCAGAAATCTCCCCCAAAATTCCATGTGATAATTCAACAGTGTTGTTCATGTAGCTCAATGGGTAAATGGTACTTAAGATGCTTGCTTTAAAGTGTGCTCTCCTGAGTTGCATTTTGAGCAACGATCTCAACGTTTCCGAATTCCTTTGTGTTTTTTTCTCATTTTGTTTAGTTACTATGGCATGACTCATTTCTGATTACTGTGTGATTGCACTCTAAGAAAATGCATGAGTTGAAAAGAGCATTTTACCAAATCCCAGACCTTGGTTATCTTATAGTGAAACAGATAATTAAGGGACTCTGGAAACAAAAGCCAGTACACGACCACTTTAGTTCTCACTCCTCAGTGTATATCACTAAAAATAGTGATCATTTTCCTGGCCATCTGACCTGCTGCTGTGTGAAGAAATCTTGAAGTCATTTCTCAGCTTTATTTTTCCCTCTTCACTTGATAGGCCACAAAAAAACCCCCACAAAAGCAAGGACGAGCAGGCTTTTATGATAATGTCGTCATCAGCTCCCAGCTTCAAACACTTCTGCGGCTTTTGAGTTGTCATTTATAACTTGGAACTGAATCGACCCATAATTCCCCTGATACACTTAGAGAAATTGATAACAGACTCTGCACTTCTTTTATGGCTCGGAGGAGGCAACTCCAATCACATCACTATTGGCAGGCAATATTATTTTTTGACATGGTTGTAAAAGTATAAAGGGGCTTATGGCATTTGTTTAGATGAGGAATGGGCTCTCAAGCTGTGCTGGGGTTTACAGGACCAGATTAGTGAGAAGCAAAGGGAATATGATGTTTGCAAACAGGATATGATTTTATATATAAGTTTGGGTTTCATGCTCTGTTCCCTGGGGAAAGCCTTGCAGACAGCAGAGAATTCCACTTTTATCCTACAGCAGACAAGCTCCTAGTGCCAAAAGGCAGAAAAATAAACGTGGTCAGTGGGCAGTGTCAGCCCCTTGATTGGAGGAGGAGGAGCTGTGGAAGAGGCAGAACAATTCCCTGGGAGGAATGAGGAATTGCAGAGCATGGGCAGAATCTGGGCCAGCCTAACTGGTCAAAGATGTGCCAAAAATGAGGCTCTGAGGTTTAATCAAGGCACTGTCTCTAGCAGCAAGTCAGTCGATCTGTGAACACGAAGCCGGCTTTTTATTACAAACCTTTACTCTGTCCACATTCTATTTGATTATAGCTAACTCTGACACACTGTGGGGGTTAGGGATGTCATTTCTGTGATTTGGGGAGGGAGAGATGGGGAGAAGAATTAGGTGATTGTGGGGAGGTAATTTAAGGCTCATTTCAATTGCTCTGAGGTTTTCGGCAGACATTTCAGTTACATATTAACTATACTCACCATACAGGAGGCAGGTTTGGATGAAATGTCTCAAATTTTCTTTCATTCTGTCAGATTTAAAATGTAAACTCTCCCTTCTGATATATAAAATTTATATATAAAAATATTACATACGTATATATATATTCAGAAGAAAATTCTGTTATTTCATGCTACATTTATACCCTCATATTATTTTCTCATTTAATATACCACATTGGTCCTCCACATTCATTCTTCCCAATAACAGTAAAAAAAGTTCCTGAGGCCAGCCTTTGAAAGGACTGCTTTGACTTTCTCTGTTGTATTATAATATCAGGGAATGATTTATTATATGACCAAATCATGGCTATACAGTTAAACTCAATGTACAGATAAGTTTGGTTAATACATGTTTTTCCTGCTATTTAGAGTGGTTTTCTTGGAAACAAAAGCATTATTTTAGAAGGCATAATATATGCCATCATAAGAGGAGTGAAAGGCAGGAAAAACGAGATAAGACTTGTTGCCAGTGGTTCAACAAGGTGCAGGAGTGCAAAGACTAATGAGATAAAACCATTTTCCCAGTTGCTCATAGCCTTTTCATTGGGTTGATTTGGATAAATGTGCTATGGGAGCACAGAGGCAGAGACTTCCAGAACAGAAAGAAATGAGAGGTTATATGGGGGTTACTCAAGCAGACATAAGCTAAATCTTCAAGAGCAACTAGGAATGAATGTGTTTGTATGAGTTTGGGGGGCAGTTATGAGTGAGGGGTGGAGGGAGGCATCCAGGCATTAACTGTTCAGGCTATAATAGCTCACCATATTTTTGACAATCGCACTAAGCAGTTGCTGATTAATAGAGAATTTTGTTTCTTCAGAAAATCCTAAAACAAAACTTAAAGCCTGTGCCAAAATTTGGGTGGTCCTAAAATTTTGATATCAACTCAGGAACCCCTTCCTTTTATCATAACTATATGCAGCATGTGTTATTCCCACCCATTTTTCGTGAGCAGGCACAGAGCCTTTTGTTACCGCCACAGAAAGAGGAGGTGGTGGCATCTGTTTCTCACATGCAAATCAGGATAATGTTCATTACCCTCGTATTAATGTTCAGCTCAAACCTGGCTCGCAATCAGGGCTTCATTTCCTC